TCAGAAAAACACCAAAATTCATATGCATGATCAAGAAGCATGCATAGCAATCCAAATCACATCAAAGTTCAAATTTAAGAAAGAAAAAGCTTAATACGACCTTTTTTTTTAATTGTTGTTAAGTTCCTCAACATAGAATTCAACGAAATTCCACTTTATATCAAAAGAAAAAAAAAGAAACTCATGATTTTATTCCAATATAAAATTTTTACTCACAAATGAACTCACTTCCAAATAAGATATTTACATTTGCGAAAACTCATTTCAAAATGACATCAAAACTCATATCTAGCTTTCTACGACCAGTATAAATCACATAATGACAAAGGTGAAACCATCTAGCCTTAACTTTTACACATAATCCAGCATTTAGGGAAAAAAAAATGCAAGAATCCATTAGAGGTCAACTTGCCAGATTGATATCCATAAACAAAGCAGTTGGACATACCTTCTCCACAACCGAGCTTGACACTCTTGAACGGAGTTCGGGATCGTAAAAATTCAAGCAGAGTGGTAGAAGGATGAATCGCCGAGACCTCAAACCTCTCTCCATTAACGGCAAATACTAGATTGTTTCGGTTCTCCACTGTTTCCGTCTCTTCCTCCATTTCTTCCGCGAGTCACCGAAACTGAAAGCTGATACAGCAGAGCTGACTTGACTAATACAAGAAAAAGGAACTCGTCTTCTCCCTGTTCTATCCATTTCTACTCTTATAGGGCTGCAATTCACCTTCAGTCGATAAGCATTCTGAAAGTGACGTCGCTATGCTCCACCGCGCTCGTCAGCTTTCCACATCTCTGTTTCCATTGAAAGAAACTTCAGTGTTCAATTTTGAAAGGTAATGGGATCAAATGAACTTTACGCATATTTCCTTGTTCGGCCTTTATTCTAAATTGATTTTATTATTTTATTAAATAAATTTTTATAATAGATGTCGCGTAATTATTTTTAATTAAAAAAATTTAATATATATATATATATATATATATATATATAAGATCTTCCTTATCCTTCTAGTAATAAAAAATTTAAAAATAAATTAAAATTTAAAAATGTTGCTAAATACCCTATTAGTAATATAACATGTTACAAATATATATATATATATATTTTTATAATTTTATATTATGATATTATATGTATTGCTAATTTAAATTTTGATAAAAAATAAATATTTTATAACGTGTAAATTATTTTAATTAAAATAATTATAATATATTAAAATTTTAATTATATTTTAAAAAAGAAATATTTAGGAGTTTTTGATTAGTTTAGTAAGAGAATTTAATTTAAATATGTAACATTTTTATTGTATAGTTTTATTTTAAAAAAATTACTTTTTTTTGGGTACATGAAACTTTAGCATTTAATTTTTATATTTTTATATAATATGTACAAATATTTTTTTACAAGCTAATTACTATTTTGTCAAAAAAAAATGTAAAATAAAATAATATCTAATTATATAGTCAAACCTATTGTTTAATTGTGACAAGACGTGTACTTTTCTAGAGTGGAAATTATAATATGTTCAATTATTGTACTTAATATTTTAATTAAAACAAAAATAAGTCTAGACCAAATAAAATTAATTCGGACCAAGTTAATCTTATCCCTTTGTAAGTTTGTTCGATTTAAGTTCAATTTGGATGGATTATAAATCCAATATTATTTATAAGCA